CGGCACCAACAAACATCATGGATGAAGAGGTTCTCTGAGAAAGACTCACAGAGATTATTGAAGGTCTTACGGCACCAACAAACATCATGCATAAAGAGGTTCTCTGAGAAAGACTCACAGAGATTATTGCAGGTCTTACGGCACCAACAAACATCATGGATAAAGAGGTTCTCTGAGAAAGACTCACAGAGATTATTGCAGGTCTTACGGCACCAACAAACATCATGTGAAGAGGCTTTCTGAGAAGACTCACAGAGATTATTGCAGGTTTAAAGGCACCAACACACATCATGTGAAGAGGTTCTCTGAGAAAGACCCACAGAGATTATTGCATGTTTTACGGTACATCGGAATAAGAAAATAAGTGCCTACTGGCCACAACACTGCCATCTAGAATAATGGGTTCTTTCGGTAATTAAACACGACAGAACACTGATGTCTAGAAAATACTGGTACTGTGTGAAACAGCATGGCTTCAGTCCCAGGTTAGTGCAATCACTGCCAAGGTTAAACCATATGCCCTGCAGGACGCCATTTGCACCAGATGCCTTCTCAAGTTCAAAATGTTTTTTACGAACCATTCAGGTGTTTATTAAAACATTACCTGAACTATAATATTGTGTAATAAATAACAAAAATTATTTTTTCAGGGAAAAACATTTGTACGAACCTTTATGGATTTTCTAATACAAAGGTACGGTGCATGTGTCATATCAAATTACAGATGATTTATCCAATATGAAATTGACAGCTTATTGTGTTTAAATGGCAAGTTGTACAATTCAGTGCAAAAACATCAAAGTTCTCCAAGTGCAATTTAAGGTCGAACACATATACTGCAAAAGAATCAATACAAATAAAAAAAAATTGAATGCTTTCCAAAAATTGATTTTCCGAAAAATTCTCATAATTACTTCAACCGAATTATCATATTCCCATGGGAGAGCTTATCTCGCTTTTAAGCATCCATGAGCGTGAAATAGACTGAATGACGTCCATATCTATCCCATAATACCCCTACTCCGTTAGTGGTAGTGCACAGCCTGATCAATAGGCACAGCTCCCTAGGGACCGTCTCGGAGGGTCTTAGACACTGTATTTAGCCGACACCAATACCTCCGGCATTGAAACACAGGTGTCCCAGCTGCTTCTCTTAACACCTTCACGTGCATTAATTCCTTTCCTAAAGCTGAAAAAAGCAGCTTGTATTACCCTGGGACGTGATGAATCCTCCCCTTGAAACCATTTCTATTTCAGTTGAGGAAATAATCCGTTTCGTTTTATGAGACTTATGTCTTTTGGATGCACTGTTGTTTCCAAACCCATCACAGATTCTTGTGAAAAGATCAGAAAATGAATGTTTTTGTCCATCACGATAAAAAAAATTCTTTTCATCTGTGCAAACATTGTGTTGAAATGGACATTCAAGACAAAAGAACAGTGTCCTATATTGAATGTCTGATTGAGGCAGATGCGTGTTTCGTGTTTCTCGTTCAGATACTGTAACTGACAGTGTTTGTAGCAATGATTAGCAGACATTGGTTTATCGCACGAAGACATCTTATTGGTCTCGAGATCACCATTATAGCCAGGTCCTGACACAGCCAGGACCTCGAGATCACCATTATAGCCAGGTACACTGACACAGCCAGGACCTCCAGATCACCATTATAGCCAGGTCCTGACACAGCCAGGACCTCGAGATCACCATTATAACCAGGTCCTGACACAGCCAGGACCTCGAGATCACCATTATAGCCAGGTACACTGACACACCCAGGACCTCGAGATCACCCTTATAGCCAGGTACACTGACACAGCCAGGACCTCGAGATCACCATTATAGCCAGGTACACTGACACAGCCAGGACCTCGAGATCACCATTATAGCCAGGTACACTGACACAGCCAGGACCTCGAGATCACCATTATAGCCAGGTACACTGACACAGCCAGGACCTCCAGATCACCATTATAGCCAGGTACACTGACATAGCCAGGACCTCGAGATCACCATTATAGCCAGGTACACTGACACAGCCAGGACCTTGAGATCACCATTATAGCCAGGTACACTGACACAGCCAGGACCTCGAGATCACCATTATAGCCAGGTCCTGACACAGCCAGGACCTCGAGATCACCATTATAACCAGGTCCTGACACAGCCAGGACCTCGAGATCACCATTATAGCCAGGTACACTGACACACCCAGGACCTCGAGATCACCCTTATAGCCAGGTACACTGACACAGCCAGGACCTCGAGATCACCATTATAGCCAGGTACACTGACACAGCCAGGACCTCGAGATCACCATTATAGCCAGGTACACTGACACAGCCAGGACCTCGAGATCACCATTATAGCCAGGTACACTGACACAGCCAGGACCTCCAGATCACCATTATAGCCAGGTACACTGACATAGCCAGGACCTCGAGATCACCATTATAGCCAGGTACACTGACACAGCCAGGACCTTGAGATCACCATTATAGCCAGGTACACTGACACAGCCAGGACCTCGAGATCACCCTTATAGCCAGGTACACTGACACAGCCAGACCTCGAGATCACCATTATAGCCAGGTACACTGACACAGTCAGACCTCGAGATCACCATTATAGCCAGGTACACTGACATAGCCAGGACCTCGAGATCACCCTTATAGCCAGGTACACTGACACAGCCAGGACCTCGAGATCACCCTTATAGCCAGGTACACTGACACAGCCAGACCTCGAGATCACCATTATAGCCAGGTACACTGACACAGCCAGAACCTCGAGATCACCCTTATAGCCAGGTACACTGACACAGCCAGGACCTCGAGATCACCATTATAGCCAGGTACACTGACACAGCCAGGACCTCCAGATCACCATTATAGCCAGGTACACTGACACAGCCAGGACCTCGAGATCACCATTATAGCCAGGTACACTGACACAGCCAGGACCTCGAGATCACCCTTATAGCCAGGTACACTGACACAGCCAGGACCTCGAGATCACCATTATAGCCAGGTACACTGACACAGCCAGGACCTCGAGATCACCCTTATAGCCAGGTACACTGACACAGCCAGGACCTCGAGATCACCATTATAGCCAGGTACACTGACACAGCCAGGACCTTGAGATCACCATTATAGCCAGGTACACTGACACAGCCAGGACCTCCAGATCACCATTATAGCCAGGTACACTGACACAGCCAGGACCTCGAGATCACCATTATAGCCAGGTACACTGACACAGCCAGGACCTCGAGATCACCATTATAGCCAGGTACACTGACACAGCCAGGACCTCGAGATCACCATTATAAATACAGATGTCTCAACAAGCTGGGATGTGTTGTTCTCTGTAATTCTAATGGAGGCTATAGGTTGTGGTCATTGTAAACCAGCAGACCGCATCTGTGGTCTAGTGGTAGAGCGTCCGCCCAGAGAGCGGAAAGCCTGGGGTTTGAACCCCGGCCACATCATACAAAAAGACGTTAAAAGATAGTACTTGTTGTTACCCTGTTGCATTAAGGGGCTAAAACAAGGACTGGATGACTCGGAGTCAGTATCTGAGTGGGGTATTTATGTTAAACTGCGGCATGGTATCTCAGTGGGCTAGCACTATAGATCCTCTCTCTCTCTCTCTCTCTCGCTCTCTCTCTCTCTCGCTCTCTCTCTCTCTCTCTCTCTCTCTCACACACACTCACACACACACGCACGCACGCGCGCGCGCACACACACACACACACACACACACAAAACAAAACAAAACAAAACAAAACAAAACAAAACAAAACAAAAAACACAGGCACACAAAAACAAACACACACACACAAAAAACCTCACACACAAAAACATGCATGCACACTGCTATTTTTATAAGTGCAATGATCTTGGACGTGACGTTAAACCCCATTTCACCTGTAAACCAGCAAACAGTTCCTGGTATGGGACTTCTCACTGTGGCCTCACACACAAATCATTATTCTGACAATGGTGGCAGTTATTGATGCTGGAGGTGGGATTAGGAGGGCAGATGACACGAGTCGGTTATGGATGGCATGGTGTGCACAAATACTGTGTGAACATAACACATGGTGAGCCTGGCCTCAAGGTGTCTGGTTAAACACTACACAGTGAACACTGATACCCTGGATGATCTGTACACACCACAGGATGTCATAGCCAGCACAAACACACACTCGTGATTTACCAATTCCACACTTGAAAACCTCCAAGTACAGTTGTACCAGGCTTCTGAAACACTTGTAACTTTTTCTGACACACAATTCTGTCACATACATGATCTAGGTGTTACAGTTGTGGCAAAGGACAGTTTTTGCAGCAACACAGTAGACGTTTGGTGCTTCACTACATTGCTGGCTTGTTGCTTGAGGACACAGCAATATTCCAACCATTTTAAATTTCTCCTGTAACTACACTGAAATCAAGTCTGGACCAGACAAACCAGTGATAGACATTATGAGCAACATCCCAGTCATCAGGTGAGGTGAGGTGAGGTGAGGTGAGGTGAGGTGAGGTGAGGTGAGGTGAGGTTCATGTCAAAAGTTGGTTGGTTGGTTTGTTGTTTAACGCCGCACTCAGCAATATTCCAGCTATATGACGGCGGTCTGTAAATAGTCGAGTCTGGACCAGACAATCCATTGATTGATATCATGAGCACCGATCCACGCAATTGGGATCGATGACACGTATCAACCAAGTCAGCGAGCCTGACCACCCGGTCCCGTTCGTTGCCTTTTACGACAAGCATAGTCGCCTTTTACGGCAAGCATGGGTTGCTGAAGACCTATTCTACCCCCGAATCTTCACGGGTGGATTGATGATAGACATTCATCACCTGACCTCTTCTGTTCCAGTGAGCTACACAGAAGAAATTTGTTTCCTTCCTTCTTCACAAAATATCAGACATGATGAATGAACCTGTGGACTGGGATGAGAAGGTGCTCCACATATTTCATACTCACGTTCATCTAGGTCTGCTAAACTTTCAAACACTGCGGATACACTGGGGTAGAACATGTCTCGACCTGGTTGCCAAATGAGCTCTCCTATTTCTGGGGAAAGAAATATTCATGAAAAGCAAGGTTTTTAAAAGATCCACAAATTTGAAATTTGTAGTTTATCAAACTTGAAAATACAATATGTACAAGTGAGTGAGTGAGTGAGTTAAAAATTTGGTTTTTGTTTGACGCCGCTTTGAACAATATTCCAGTGACATCTTGATATGTATATTGGCTTTATGTGGGCGGAAAGCCTGAAGGAAATATGTTGTACAAGCATGATGACACTTAAAGCACTTAAAGAAACAAAACTTAAATATTTTTCCATTAAATGTTGAAAACACATTACCATAAATGAACTTGCACTATAGAATTCAGTATGATTGCTTGAAATTTCATCAACACTGCATCTCAGCTATTAAAATTTCATTATTAAAAATTTCAGTGATTAAAATCATAACTATATAATAATTTGACATAAATTCATGAATAATTTCAACAAGTAAGGAGATTCAGAACAACAGATAATTAATTTTATTATGGCCAGAGCAATTATTAACCTCACAATGAGAACTGGAATTTCCATGCACACATGAAACTAATTTATTAATCATATAAACATATCTTTCTGTGAGTGATCAAATTTATCATCAATGTCATAACTGTTTTCAGTGTTTGTCATAACTCTGAAATGATTCCTATTAGGGCTGGGACGAGTCCAAAATTACTACCTGGGTCCCCAACCCCCCATTACCCGATCCTACCCGGGTACCCAACCCCCCATTACCCGACCCTACCCGGGTACCCAACCCCCCATTACCCGACCCTACCCGGGGCCCCAACCCCCCATTACCCGACCCTACCCGGGTCCCCAACCCCCCATTACCCGATCCTACCCGGGTACCCAACCCCCCATTACCCGATCCTACCCGGGTACCCAACCCCCCATTACCCGACCCTACCCGGGGCCCCAACCCCCCATTACCCGACCCTACCCGGGTCCCCAACCCCCCATTACCCGACCCTACCCGGGTACCCAACCCCCCATTACCCGATCCTACCCGGGTCCCCAACCCCCCATTACCCGATCCTACCCGGGTACCCAACCCCCCATTACCCGACCCTGACCGGGTACCCAACCCCCCATTACCCGACCCTACCCGGGTCCCCAACCCCCCATTACCCGATCCTACCCGGGTACCCAACCCCCCATTACCCGACCCTACCCGGGTACCCAACCCCCCATTACCCGATCCTACCCGGGTACCCAACCCCCCATTACCCGATCCTACCCGGGTACCCAACCCCCCATTACCCGACCCTACCCGGGTACCCAACCCCCCATTACCCGACCCTACCCGGGGCCCCAACCCCCCATTACCCGACCCTACCCGGGTCCCCAACCCCCCATTACCCGATCCTACCCGGGTACCCAACCCCCCATTACCCGATCCTACCCGGGTACCCAACCCCCCATTACCCGACCCTACCCGGGGCCCCAACCCCCCATTACCCGACCCTACCCGGGTCCCCAACCCCCCATTACCCGACCCTACCCGGGTACCCAACCCCCCATTACCCGATCCTACCCGGGTCCCCAACCCCCCATTACCCGATCCTACCCGGGTACCCAACCCCCCATTACCCGACCCTGACCGGGTACCCAACCCCCCATTACCCGACCCTACCCGGGTCCCCAACCCCCCATTACCCGATCCTACCCGGGTACCCAACCCCCCATTACCCGACCCTACCCGGGTACCCAACCCCCCATTACCCGATCCTACCCGGGTACCCAACCCCCCATTACCCGATCCTACCCGGGTACCCAACCCCCCATTACCCGATCCTACCCGGGTACCCACTGAAGGTCTCAAGAGTTTGGAATGAAACGTCTGATTGGGAATTGTTTTACCGCAGCCCTGGCAAAAACTATGTATGAAACAATCAGATCATGCGTTCACTGAAGTTGACTGAAGCATTATCTCTACTCACACATATAAAAGTCAAAAGGAATGCGAACTTTAGCAACTTGAAGTGTAACCACTGAGCTATAGTGAGTTGATGTCATTAAACAATATATCACGTGACTAACCACAGGTTCGGGTAGACCTGAGGGTACCTACTCAGTACCCACCCAACCCCAGTACCCGAGTTACCCGTCCCAGCCCCAATTCCTGTTTATAGGCATTTTAACCTTTTTACACTCAATAAATTCTATTGACTGACAGTCAAATGTGACACTCGGCCACTTGATCATGCTTCCCCAACAACAGATGTTAGTTCAGTTGATCTTTAAATAGGACATCCTATTTTGGCTGTAAGTTAAACACTGCCATATGACCCAATACGTGATAACAAACACAGGCGTTTGCTTTGGTCTTCTCCACAAATAAGTAATGATGTTTAATCGGTAACGATCGATCAGCTGATAGCCTGGACACATCCTGTCTGAGGACAGAAAATGCCAACATCTTTGAAAACAAAAGAGTACCAGTATTGAGTTTAAGGGAAGCCAATATTTGCAATGCACTTATGCTTTTATATCTGTCGAGAAAAAAGAATGTCATTGTCTTACGGTATGGACCAGAATATTGATAAGTATTGATACGTGAGGTGGTATCTTACACATAGGGTACCAGGCTTGAGACAAGTGGGGCTTGGATGGTGAATCAATGAGAATCAAGGTAATATCCCCACAAACAATGTCAGGTGTATGATGAGGGAAGAATTGACAGAATACATAGTCAACAAGACAGTTTACTGAAAACACTATAACAACTATTGAACAAATTGATTAAATTCATTATTTAAACATAATCATGGACAAAGTTCCACTACATAAATAAAATGTCTTTCTGATAGCGAGGTCACAAAATCAATGAGGAATTTCTGTTGACATCTGTGGGATGTGTGGTGATACATTGGGATTAGGTGAGGTGAGGTGAAATGGGGTTTAACGTCGCGTCTAAGATTATTGCACTTAAATAGCGACGTGCATGTACGTGTGTCTGTTTGTGTGGCTGCTTGTACTAGTCCGGATTGATGCCGATTTATAGTTCTAGCTCACTGAGATACCATGCCGCAGTTTAACATGAATACCCCACTCAGACACAGTATACTGACTCCGAGCTGACCAGTCCTTGTTATAGCCCCTTAATGCCGAGTGCCAGACAGGGTAACAACAAGTACCATCTTTTAACGTCTTTTGGTATGACGCAGTCGGGGATCGAACCCCAGACCTTCCGCTCTCCCGGCGTACGCTCTACCACTAGACCATGGAGGCGGTCACATTGGAATTAATATCGCGTTCAATGTTATTGCACAAACATAGCGATGTGCATGTACATGGGTGTGTTGATGCTTGTGCTAGTCTGGACAAATGCTGGTTTAATAGTTCTAGTCCACTGAGATACCATGCCACAGTTATCATCGATACCCCACTCAGACACAGTCCAGTTTTATCCCCTTAATGCTGAGTGCCAGGCAGGGTAATAACAAACACCATCTTCTCATTGTCTTTCGGTATGATGCGCCCAGGGGATTGAACCACCCTCCTCCTTCCCTCCAGACAGAGGCTGTCTTGGTAACAGCTGTAAACAGAACTAGTCTCCGTCTAGTGGACCAGCAGTCTATAGGACCAGCAGTCTATAGGATCAGCAGTCTATAGGACCAGCAGTATATAGGACCAGCAGTCTATAGGACCAGCAGTCTATAGTACCAGCAGTCCATAGGACCAGCAGTCTATAGGACTGCAACTCACAGTGGAGAGTCTGTAGCTGCCATGCTGTGCTGTGCTGGTCATGGGTTCATTTAGCAATATCTGTGATGTTGTGATCCTAGAATGACCTAGATTCAGTATCTGTGATGTTGTGATCCTAGAATGACCTAGATTCAGTATCTGTAATGTTGTGATCCTAGAATGACATAGATTCAATATCTGTGATGTTGTGATCCTAGAATGACCTAGATTCAGTATCTGTGATGTTGTGATCCTAGAAAGACCTAGATTCAGTATCTGTAATATTATGATCCTAGAATGACCTAGATTCAGTATCTGTTATATTGTGATCCTAGAATGACCTAGATTCAATATCTTTGATGTTGTGATCCTAGAATGACATAGATTCAGTATCTGTGATATTGTGATCCTAGAATGACCTAGATTCAGTATCTGTGATGTTGTGATCCTAGAATGATCTAGATTCAATATCTGTGATGTTGTGAGTCTAGAATGACCTAGATTCAGTATCTGTAATATTGTGATACTAGAATGACCTAGATTCAATATCTGTGATGTTGTGATCCTAGAATGACCTAGATTCAATATCTGTGATGTTGTGATCATATAATGACCTAGATTCAATATCTGTGATGTGGATCTGAATCCCTCCGAATCACCCACAGTAAGATCGCTCTCAGTTCAGTATCTGTGATGTTGTGATCATATAATGACCTAGATTCAATATCTGTGATGTTGGTTTGAATCCCAGAATCACCCAGATCCCTTTCAGTTCAATATATGTAATGTGGGTCTGAAACCCAGATACACCCAGAGTACGATCCTACTCAGCTCTGTTTCTGGGATGTGGGTTTGAAGCCCAGAATCACCTATAATACTGACATGATGTGATATGTTGAAACTTTAACTCACTCACTCACTCACTCATTGATGAGACAATGGAGGTCACATGTATGTATGTATGTATGTATGTATGTATGTATGTATGTATGTATGTATGTATGTATGTATGTATGTATGTATGTATGTATGTATGTATGTATGTATGTATGTATGTATGTATATGTAAGTGAAAAGGATGTGACTGAATACTTACTGTTCATATCGCCTCCTATCACTTTCTTATTGAACCAGTCATTTGTACTGGCTGCCACAAATGTATATTGCTGAAACATAAAAGAAATAATATATATTATTCAGTAAGGATTGGGGTACACTAATGGGCTTATATGGGAGAATAACACATTGATATTAGAAAAGATATCATCAAACTTAATAGTCTGTTCTATTTTGAAGACATGAAACGTGTACGGATAAAAACTTCTTTTTGTTTGTAACGACGTTTTGGAGGTACTTTTTTACCCTTTATCATGTGGATACTGAGTGAGCGTATTGAGGTTATATAGATATACATGCTGATATCTTTACACAAGGTAGGATTAATGTAGAAAGATAACCATATAGTCATGACACGCCATGAAGTTGTTATCCCTTAATGTTTAATGTCTTCATGTTCTTTATACTTCTGAATGTCCATCAAAGACCTTATTCCAGTTTGGTTTGTTTTGTCTATTGAGTGTGGTCATACATGTATGTGTAATTTTCATGTTTTTGACCTTGTTTTGTGACAGAAATACAAAAACCTTTAACCCCAAGACAGGCCAGGCTTATATTAAACTTGGTTTACGAATCTGCTTGCTCCCCAAAAACAAAAATGTGAAATGAAAATAAAGCAGTGGGTCTTATTATTCCACCAAACAGAAATAAGTAAACTTTTAAAAAACTCATTTACATTTATAGATAAATCATTTAAAATACTAAAGTTAAAACCTGTTGAAAATTTGAAAATCATGAGAGAAAATCAACAAAAAATTACCCGAAATTGGAGTGTCTATTTTCATATTTTTTTTAACCTACTGGCCTGAATTTTGGGGGAAAAATCCAGAACACCTCTCCATAAAAAGCCTGGCCTCACTGACAATTTTAATTCATATAAATAACATAAGGGCACAAAAACCAGAAAAACAAATATTGTGAAGGTTCTCACTTGTTTCGTTGTTTTGAAGTAAGTGGTGACATCGTCCATAGCACCCCCCACTGTCTCGTCTATGACATTGATGCCATAGTGGAGGTTAGTGCTCACGACGGTGATGCAGATAACATAGATTCTGGAACATTAGAACATAATGCCACTTCTATCAGCGCCAGAACATCACGCCTTGTTTCATGAACATCAATTAGGATGTCAGAGATGCTACAGACTCGGTATAGTGTTTTGGTGTATGGTTCATCATTAAGAAAATCTAAATGTCCGTGCCATGGAATCATCTTTCAGTCCCACAGGAGGCGCCATGGTCAAAGTCGCCGGAATGTATTCTGCCCTGTTGAGTCCCCTAGCCATCATGACCTGTGGTGCCATGGTTCAAATATCAGCTTGCCCTGATTATTACATCCTAATTTGTCTGTCTGAACCATACACAGTTTCCATGGTTTCAAGAACAATAATTTGCAGCCCAGTTGGTTTCCATACTGAGGTGTAACGTTGCCATAGAAATACTTTTCAAATTAGCATTAATATCTTACTCAGTCCTCATTTAGTCTCAAGAAAATCAAAGAATGTAATTCAAATATGGTGGGCCTTTTGGAGACTTGTAGTCATGATAGGTCTCCCACTGTTGATGTTGGTACTTACAAGCTAAGCGTGGCACCGATGTAGCTACTGACGACAAAGAAGGTGAATGGCTTGTCTCTCATGTAGGGCTTTTTCACGAGGTATATGTCTTTTTTCCTCCGTCGGTATTCATGTCGTAGAAACACCACCATGCAGATGAGGAAGAACACGATGAGGAGACTGCCGGTGAAGCAGGCTATTGCTACATTTACAACATAGCGTTCTTTCTGAAAAAGTTAACATCTGGTGTCATCACTGATTTTCAGTGATCCATTCATATAACGTTCAGTGATCCATTCATATAACGTTCAGTGATCCATTCATATAACGTTCAGTGATCCATTCATACAAGAGTCATCAGAAAGATGACATAGCCCCCCGGCAGCTGTCTGTAAAGTAACCACTAGTAAATTTGCAATTCTGTATGTAATGAGTCAACAGTTGAATGTTCTTTAAGCATGCATACATTGTTTACCCACTGAATGGTTTTCGAATTCTGGCCCGGAAAGGAACTCGTTCCCCAATGGAGTCTAGGTCCAACTTCTTTCCATAAAAATTGTAAAAAATAAAAATTCGTAAAAAAATAAATATCAAAAGGCACCACTTCAGTATGTGCCTGATAGCTTTGCCAAGTTTTGATCAAATACACTGAATGGTTTTCGAATTCTGCCCCGGAAACGAACCCCATCCCCAATTGAGTCTATGTCCAACTTCATTCCATAAAAACTTAAAAAACTAAAAATTAGAAAAATCCCAAAATATCAAAAGGCACCACTTCAGTATGTGCCTGATAGCTTTGCCAAGTTTTGATCAAATACACTGAATGGTTTTCGAATTCTGCCCCGGAAACGAACCCCATCCCCAATTGAGTCTATGTCCAACTTCATTCCATAAAAATTTAAAAAAATAAAAATTAGAAAAATCCCAAAATATCAAAAGGCACCACTTCAGTATGTGCCTGATAGATTTGCCAAGTTTCGATCAAATACACTGAATGGTTTTTCGAATTCTGCCCCGGAAAAGGAAATGATTACGGACGGACAGATGGACGGACAGACAGACTGGCTCATCGCTATATCCCCCCGCATTATATGCCGGGGGCATAATAATGTTCAGTGATCCATTCATATAACGTTCAGTGATCCATTCATATAACTTTCACTGATCCATTCATATATATTCAGTGATTCATTCAAATAACGTTCAGTGATGCATTTATATAACTTTCAGTGATCAATTCATATCCCTTTCACTGATCCATTCATATATATTCAGTGATTCATTCAAATAACGTTCAGTGATCCATTTATATAACTTTCAGTGATCAATTCATATCCCTTTCACTGATCCATTCATATATATTCAGTGATTCATTCAAATAACGTTCAGTGATCCATTTATATAACTTTCAGTGATCCATTCATATAACATTCAGTGATCCATTCATATAACTTTCAACAATCCATTCAAATAACTTTCAGTGATCCATTCATATAACTTTCAGTGATCCATTCAGATAACGATCAGTGATCCATTCATATAACTTTCAACAATCCATTCATATAACGTTCAGTGATCCATACATATAACGTTCAACAATCCATTCAAATAACTTTCAGTGATCCATTCATATAACTTTCAGTGATCCATTCACTAGTTTGCATTTGACCCCTAATGGAATCTGTTTCGATAGATAATCAAGACTGATTGATCTCTGGTGTTTATGTGTTTTGAATTTAAAGGGAAACTGTGTTCTCCACTCTGATGTCCAATCACAGTCTACATCAAAACATTGAAATTGGTGCCATGTGTGAAACAGACATTTTCTCAGTCAAAATAGGGTAATAAAAAACTGGGATATCTACATCATTGAGTTTAAGATAGAAGTTAAACAAAGTGGTGTTAGTATGACTTGTGTCAAAACAAATAGCTGTTTTGGTTTTGACCAGCCAAAAGGGCCAACTGACACACTAATCACACTGTCTGGGCTGCCCGTGGTCAGTTTGGACCTGCTTGAATTTGTCTTGCTATTTTCTCCTTTATTAAAAGGTGTAGGATTCACTCTACTGACATTTCCTCCCTAATACTTCTTGAAACATTTCATTCTTTATGTCAAGTTTGGTTTCCATGGCAACCATATACAAAAAGAGACTTTTTGCCATTGTTTCCCAATGTTCGCAGACAAAATGACAAAAAATGGTGGCAGACTTGTGTGGTGGGAATCTAAGATATAGTTTTTCATTTTTGCACTTTCTTTGAGTTTTATTGCCCATGACAGCATTTCCACTTTGCTGACACCATCTATTATGCGTTTGTTTGTTTGTTTGTTTGTTTGTTTGTTTGTTTCTTGTTTAACGCTGCACTCAGCAATATTCAAGCTATATGACAGCCGTCTGTAAATAATCGAATCTGGACCAGACAATCTAGTGACTGACATCATGAACATCGATCTATTCCACTGGGATATGATGTATCAACCAAGTCAGTGAGCCTGATCACCCAGTCTTGTTAGTCGCCTCCTAGACAAGCATAGTTGCCTTTATGTGATAAAGGCTGAACTGAGGTCATCATTCATAATATTCTAAAACAAAAGTGAAAATTAACAGCGTTCCAAAAGTGTGTTACATGTTATTCCAAACTAACATTCTTGCTGCATGTCAATTTCATAATGATACAAGCAGAAATGCCTGATTATGGCCGAAAATGACATTTTGAATATGGCCTAAATGGCTGCCACAATAGAAAATCAGATAGAAATTCTTTTCATTTAGTCAGAATGAGATAAAAAGGAGTTTCAAATCCAATTTAACTGAATTTATTAACCAAATTATTTGTACAATACATTTAAACTTGTATTTCAATTCCCCATGACATCCCCTTCAAGGAACATTGGGATTCTCAAGAGGAACATATTTCCTAGCCGTAGGAGCAGCATAACGAAGTCAATAACTTGGTGCCTTGACAGATTATACGTTGTCCTACCACAATGGCTTGAATGCTTTCAACCACTGGTTTGCCTGGTCCAGAGTCGAACATTTATAGGTCACCATGATACAGGTGGAAATTTCACACACACGTTCACTCACTGAGCCCTTCATTGAAACACATATACTTACATCTGTACCTATATCTTCCCCTTTCAAGAGACGCTGCATCGTTTCTGTAAAAAGAAATTTCTTTGAGATTATGTGTCCAAACCATGGAGACAACCGTACAGGTACTATGCAAGTACCGGTCTTTCTTGGGCATAGTTACTTGGGCCTGCCTGTTTTTGGCCTGTCTGATGTCTGCATCAGTCTGTCTGTAACGCTGCATCATGTTCGTTACAGCAACAAGGGAGCAACCAAAAGATCTGGCAACATCTCTGAAAACACAAATTTTCATTAGCTCGAATCTGTATCATACCCAGGGCCCACTCGCCTTGTTCAAGTGTCAGTTGTGGCATTTCTGTGGTGGTCTTTCATCAGTGTGAGTGTCTGACATGCCGTTTTTTACACTTATTGCATTTTGGCTGCCCAAGCGGCACATGTTTTTCCCTTTTTTCACATTTTCTACATAAACATGTGCCATGGACGTGTATCAATTTCTGCAAAGAGCATTATTGTGTTTTTTTAATTGATTAAGTTTGAACTTGTGTTTTTTAAATTTTTGCAATTTCTTCTTTAAAGTGGTAAAGCTTCTTTTGGCCATTAGTTTACATAGAATCATTACATATTCTGAAAAATCTCTTGACAATAAGTTGTGGGTCCATAGCAGAAACTTGCTGCCACACAACCTTCAGGTATCTGGGTCAGCATCAATTCTGAGCCATGTACACAGCCATGTTTATTTCCATAAAATCAATGGCCATGTTGTATATTTACCTGCACACATGATGTACATAGCATACAAAATGTATTTGTAAACACTGCCTGAGGTTGACAGACCTTTAAGCCATTAAGATAAGAGTTGCCTAAGAGATAGCAACTGATGCATGTAACCTCAATAAGCTCTGGGAACCATCAATACATATCCTATATGTTGAAGTTGTCTGTACTGGCACAGTAGTCTATGGCACATAGTACTGTGGTGTGGTTTGAATCCCCAATTTTCTTTCGCACCAGTGCAATACATTATTGAAAAATGCAACCTAATATATACGTCAATATGCACCAAGTGTATTTCAAATTTTTCAATTCTTTCAAATTTATGTCTAACCGTTACGTGTACAATCATCAATGATGTGTGAACATTCAGTACCTCTAATTTTGTTTACCATACAGAATCAATAACCCCTATGTTATGTGCAAGTTAAGTCAATTTCCTTAAATCTGGCCCTGTCAAGTGATTGATATCATGAGCAACAATCCATGCCATTGGGATAATAATACCATACAATCAACTGAGTCACTGAGCCTGACCAACTGATTCCATTATGTCACCCTTGATGAACATAGGTTGCTGGGGACCTGGTCTACGCTTGGATCCCCACGAGGCATGCAATGTAGGGAGCTTGGGAAAATACATGTGCACAAGTGTGAGGTGAGGTGCAATGGGGTTTAACGTCGCATCCAAGATTATTGCACTTATATGGTGAGGTGCATGCACCTATGTGTGTGGCTGCGTGTACTTGTCCAGACTGATGCTGATTTTATAGTGCTAGCACACTGAGATACCAGTTTAACATGAATACCCCACTCAGACACAGTATACTGTACCTCTAGACCATGGAGGTCACTCTACCTCTAGACCACTGAGGTCACACTACTTCTAGACCACGGAGGTCACTCTACCTCTAGACCACGGAGGCACCTCTACCTCTAGACCATGGAGGTCACTTTACTTCTAGACCACGGAGGTCACTCTACCACTAGACCACGAAGGTACCTCTACCTCTAGACCATGGAGGACACTCTACCTCTAGACCATGGAGGTCACTCTACCTCTAGACCATGGAGGTCACTCTACTTCTAGACCATGGAGGACACTCTACCTCTAGACCATGGAGGTCACTCTTCCTCTAGACCATGGAGGTCACTCTACCTCTAGACCAACGAGGTCACTCTACATCTAGACCATGGAGGACACTCTACTTCTAGACCATGGAGGACACTCTACCTCTAGACCATGGAGGTCACTCTACCTCTAGACCATGGAGGTCACTCTTCCTCTAGACCATGGAGGTCACTCTACCTCTAGACCATGGAGGTCACTCTACCTCTAGACCATGGAGGACACTCTACCTCTAGACCATGGAGGACACTCTACCTCTAGACCATGGAGGTAATTCTACCTCTAGACCATTGAGGTCACTCTACCTCTAGACCATGGAGGACACTCTACCTCTAGACCACAGAGGCACCTCTACCTCTAGAACATGGAGGTCACTCTTCCTCTAGAACATGGAGGTTACTCTTCCTCTAGACCATGGAGGTCACTCTACATCTAGACCATGGAGGTCACACTACTTCTAGACCACGGAGGTCACTCTACCTCTAGACCACAGAGGCACCTCTACCTCTAGAACATGGAGGTCACTCTTCCTCTAGACCATGGAGGTCACTCTACCTCTAGACCACAGAGGCACCTCTACCTCTAGAACATGGAGGTCACTCTTCCTCTAGACCATGGAGGTCACTCTACATCTAGACCATGGAGGTCACACTACTTCTAGACCACGGAGGTCACTCTACCTCTAGACCACAGAGGCACCTCTACCTCTAGAACATGGAGGTCACTCTTCCTCTAGACCATGGAGGTCACTCTACTTCTAGACCATGGAGGTCACACTACTTCTAGACCACGGAGGTCACTCTACCTCTAGACCATGAAGGTCACTTTACCTCTAGACCATGGAGGTCACTCTACCTGTAGACCACAGAGGTCACTTTACTTCTAGACCATGGAGGTCACTCTACCTCTAGACCATGGAGGTCACTTTACTTCTAGACCATGGAGGTAATTCTACCTCTAGACCATGGAGGTCACTCTTCCTCTAGATCACGGAGGTCACTCTACCTCTAGACCACAGAGGCACCTCTACCTCTAGAACATGGAGGTCACTCTACTTCTAGACCACGAAGGTCACTTTACCTCTAGACCATGGAGGTCACTCTACCTGTAGAACATGGAGGTCACTCTACCACTAGACCACGGAGGTCACTCTACTTCTAGACCTTGAAGGTCACTTTACCTCTAGACCATGGAGGTCACTCTACCTGTAGACCATGAAGGTCACTCTACCTCTAGACCATGGATGTCACTCTACCTGTAGACCACAGAGGTCACTCTACCTCTAGACCATGGAGGTCACTTTACTTCTAGACCATGGAGGTAATTCTACCTCTAGACCATGGAGGTCACTCTACCTCTAGACCATGGAGGTCACTCTACCTCTAGACCATGGAGGTCACACTACTTCTAGACCACGGTCACTCTACCTCTAGACCACGAAGGTCACTTTACCTCTAGACCATGGAGGTCACTCTACCAGTAGACCATGGAGGTCACTCTACCTGTAGACCATGGAGGTCACTTTACTTCTAGACCATGGAGGTAATTCTACCTCTAGACCATGGAGGTCACTCTTCCTCTAGACCATGGAGGTCACTCTACATCTAGACCATGGAGGTCACACTACTTCTAGACCATGGAGGTAATTCTACCTCTAGACCATGGAGGTCACTTTACTTCTAGACCATGGAGGTAATTCTACCTCTAGACCATGGAGGTCACTCTACCTCTAGACCACAGAGGCACCTCTACCTCTAGAACATGGAGGTCACTCTTCCTCTAGACCATGGGGGTCACTCTACATCTAGACCATGGAGGTCACACTACTTCTAGACCACGGAGGTCACTCTACCTCTAGACCATGAAGGTCACTTTACCTCTAGACCATGGAGGTCACTCTACCTGTAGACCACAGAGGTCACTTTACTTCTAGACCATGGAGGTCACTCTACCTCTAGACCATGGAGGTCACTTTACTTCTAGACCATGGAGGTAATTCTACCTCTAGACCATGGAGGTCACTCTTCCTCTAGATCACGGAGGTCACTCTACCTCTAGACCACAGAGGCACCTCTACCTCTAGAACATGGAGGTCACTCTACTTCTAGACCACGAAGGTCACTTTACCTCTAGACCATGGAGGTCACTCTACCTGTAGAACATGGAGGTCACTCTACCACTAGACCACGGAGGTCACTCTACTTCTAGACCTTGAAGGTCACTTTACCTCTAGACCATGGAGGTCACTCTACCTGTAGACCATGAAGGTCACTCTACCTCTAGACCATGGATGTCACTCTACCTGTAGACCACAGAGGTCACTCTACCTCTAGACCATGGAGGTCACTTTACTTCTAGACCATGGAGGTAATTCTACCTCTAGACCATGGAGGTCACTCTACCTCTAGACCATGGAGGTCACTCTACCTCTAGACCATGGAGGTCACACTACTTCTAGACCACGGTCACTCTACCTCTAGACCACGAAGGTCACTTTACCTCTAGACCATGGAGGTCACTCTACCAGTAGACCATGGAGGTCACTCTACCTGTAGACCATGGAGGTCACTTTACTTCTAGACCATGGAGGTAATTCTACCTCTAGACCATGGAGGTCACTCTTCCTCTAGACCATGGAGGTCACTCTACATCTAGACCATGGAGGTCACACTACTTCTAGACCATGGAGGTAATTCTACCTCTAGACCATGGAGGTCACTTTACTTCTAGACCATGGAGGTAATTCTACCTCTAGACCATGGAGGTCACTCTTCCTCTAGACCATGGAGGACACTCTACCTCTAGACCATGGAGGTCACTTTACTTCTAGACCATGGAGGTAATTCTACCTCTAGACCATGGAGGTCACTCTTCCTCTAGACCATGGAGGTCACTCTACATCTAGACCATGGAGGTCACACTACTTCTAGACCATGGAGGTCACTCTTCCTCTAGACCATGGAGGTCACTCTACATCTAGACCATGGAGGTCACTCTGCCTCTAGACCATGGAGGACACTCTACCTCTAGACCATGGAGGTAATTCTACCTCTAGACCATGGAGGTCACTCTACCTCTAGACCATGGAGGTCACTCTACCTCTAGACCATGGAGGACACTCTACCTCTAGACCATGGAGGTCACTCTACCTCTAGACCATGGAGGTCACTCTACCTCTAGACCATGGAGGACACTCTACCTCTAGACCATGGAGGTCACTCTACCTCTAGACCATGGAGGTCACTCTACCTCTAGACCATGGAGGTCACTCTACCTCTAGACCATGGAGGACACTCTACCTCTAGACCATGGAGGACACTCTACCTCTAGACCATGGAGGTCACTCTACCTCTAGACCATGGAGGACACTCTACCTCTAGACCATGGAGGACACTCTACCTCTAGACCATGGAGGTCACTCTACCTCTAGACCATGGAGGACACTCTACCTCTAGACCATGGAGGTCACCCTTCCTCTAGACCATGGAGGTCACACTACTTCTAGACCATGGAGGTCACTCTACATCTAGACCACAGAGGTCACTCTACCTCTAGACCATGGAGGACACTCTACCTCTAGACCATGGAGGACACTCTACCTCTAGACCATGGAGGACACTCTACCTCTAGACCACAGAGGCACCTCTACCTCTAGAACATGGAGGTCACTCTACATCTAGACCATGGAGGTCACACTACTTCTAGACCATGGAGGTCACTCTACATCTAGACCATGGAGGTCACACTACTTCTAGACCACAGAGGTCACTCTACCTCTAGACCATGGAGGTTACACTACCTCTAGACCATGGAGGACACTCTACCTCTAGACCATGGAGGGCACTCTACCTCTAGACCATGGAGGTCACTCTACCTCTAGACCACAGAGGTCTTACATTAAGTGTGACATGTCCTGATGGCTCATTGCTTTAAAACCTCATGTAACTTGTTTAGGTTCAACTCTGTGTTTCGGTACAAAGTCTTTTAAAGGTTGGAGCTGTGGTTCAATTGAATTTTGGATATTTGAAACATTTCAGATCAAATTCTATCATCTCTAATGTCAAAATAATTCATGCCATACATGCCACAAACCAATCCCTGAAGTTTTTAATTTGAATCATGTATAATGAACACAGACACTGGTTCGGTGACATTTTCAACATTCCCCGCACAAATTGTCATTTTCTAAGTGCTTTCAGACGAGGTGTTGAAAATGCAATATAACATGATTAATAGACACATATGTGATGTCTGAAGGTCATGTGTTTGTATAAAAAAAATTGAAATAAAACATTTTTTTGCACTTTTCCATTGTACTTGATGTCACTTTCACAGCAGAAATGGCTGATTAATGGACAGGAATGAGATGATGATTGCTCTATAGTAGGTTTGTTCACCATGTAATCATCATCGTGACAGTTTTATTAATTCACTGGTTTCCTAAAAAATAGATTTACCCCCATGAAAACCCAGGTTAGAAATGGTCTTCAACAAACAATGCTTGCAGAAAGAGATGAATAATTGGGTCTGGTCAAATCAGGCTCGTTGTCTCATCATCTCCCAATTTTATGGATTGATGCTCATGATATCAGTCACTGGATTGCCTGGTCTAGATTTGATTATTAACAGACCGCTGTCATACAGATGAAATATTGCTGCATGCAGTGTTTAACAACAAACAAACAAACAAACAAACAAACAAACTAGATATATACATTTGAGTGAAAGTGAGTTTGGTCATAAAAAGTCAAAATAACACCAAAAGTTTAACAAGTGTTCTCGTGCATACAACATACATAATGGTTATCAATTTTTACGAAATTACATATAGAAATAAGTTGCCATAGCAACTAACATGAAATCAGATTACTTTGTACAAATTTTTAAGAAAATATAACCTATTGTCAGGATTATCAATGCAAGTAACAAATGATTTATTTAAATAAAATTAAAACAATTTTTGTTTTCAGAGATGTTGAAAATGTAAAACAAAAGAATACAAGAACAAGCAATGAAAAGGATCCTATAAAGGTCACAAAAAACATACATGTAATTCACCAGAAACATATGTTCAAAATGACTTTGTTTTTCTTTTCATTCTCAGGCATGAAACGTATTTGAGCTTGTAAGCAGATATAGTTTGGGCAAAGAAGGATACGTTGCATTTGCACTAAAACCCTGACAATCTTGACATTTACAGAACTTATATTTGAAACCAGATTTGTTACCAGACAATTCCAAAACATTATTGTTTGTCCTGAAACTGAATTGCTAAAAATGAGCTGTATGAACGATGTTTTGATCTGTTCCTGGCCTTGATGACTCCTGGTTGAGTCGAGGGGAAATGGGGTTTTAACATCACGTCCACGATTATTACACTTATATAGTGACGAGCATGCACTTGTGTGTGTGTGTGTGTGTGTATGTGTGCCTTTTTGTACTAGTCTAAACTGACACGATTTATAGTGCCAGCCCACTGAGATACCATGCTGCAGTTAAACATGAATACTCCACTCAGACACAGTATACTGACTCCGAGCCAACCATTCCTTGTTTTAGCTTCTTAATGCCGAGCGCCAGACAGGGTAACAACAAGTACCATCTTTTAGCGTCTTTTGGTATGACGTAGCCGGGGATCAAACCTGGACCTTCCTCTCTCTGAGCAGACGTTCTACTACCAGACCACTGAGGCGGTCTCTCCTGGTTGAGACTGGTTGAGACTGGACGAGACTGGACTCACCTGCGGGGAACGGCTCTGTCTGAATGCTGTTGATGACTGCACGGGCGAAAGATATCGTCACCTCCCATCCTTTTGTGGGAGCATCCCTTGTTATTCCATGGTACAATCCTGGAATAATGAAAGATACATATTTCAAGCTAATGATATCACTTTTAATATCAAAACAGACATTTTCGTTTCACAATTACACATTAAACATAACCATTATACCCCTAATTACAATGATTTCAAGATAATTGCATTCAATCCTTAATGTAATGATAATGTAGTCTAAAGATAATCCATTTTATCTATATAAAAATTATTACCATATTTCCTGTAAAAAGTGCCGTGCACAAATAGGCACCCCTGACTGACTTCCCAATCCGTCAGTAAGCAATCTCTATCAGTGATTTTGGACACGTACATATCCCAAAAGGTACGTAACAGCCCAAATTTTGTAACGTATATTAGAGAATGAGTAAGATCTGGGGTAGAACAGGTCTTCAGCAACCCATGCTTGCTGTAAAAGGCGACTATGCTTGTCGTAAAAGGCGACTACCGTATTCGACGTAATAAGCGCCCCGCTCTAATTAGCGCCCACTGCAATATTTGCTAATATATTGGCAAGTGAACAATCCCAATTAGCACCCCTTCCGATTGATCAATGTACACAAGACTTATTTATTCGTGTATAATACGCACTCATGTGTTATATGCACCCTTAATTATGGGCAATAACATTCTTGAAAATATATCTGTCGTATATAAACAGTTCCGGCTGTCAGTATAATCCACGAAATTTAACTTTCAACTCTGTTTTTTCCCACCAAAATATTATTCTAATAAGAGACCCCTATTTCTAATTTTGAGAGCGCCCTGGGCGCTTATTACGTCGAATACGGTAATAGGATCGGGTGGTCAGGCTCGCTGACTTGGTTGTCATAGATCCCAATTGCGTGGATCGAAGCTCACTATGTCAATCACTGGATTGTCTGGTCCAGATGGTGATTATTTACAGACTGGCTTATTTATTTTTATTTTTATTTCAACCGACCTTGTGTGGAAAAGTTGGAATAAATCTGTAAGACATCAAACTAAAAAAGTGTGGCCTAATTTTTGCTGCAGCAAACAATATGCAGTCTTTCAGACAGGTCCCGTAAGTAACAAACATCTGGAATCTCAACCAGTGGTTGATAGAATGACCAATGTCACATTCCACCAGCGTACAATGACACACTACCAGCCAAGTCACAGGATCTGACATCTAATGAACATACTAGTCAGTTTATACAACAAGCAAGCAGTACTGATGACCTATTTACAAACAAATTCGCCAGAAGACACATGTAAAATTTAGGCTCTGTGCCTCACAGATACTATCAAACCAACTCAATTATTAGGTGTTCCCTTGCTAAAATCTAAACATACAAATCTGTTTCTGGCAAAATCGCATCCCAATTGACTCTGCTCTTTGAAAGACAATATGCAGAAAATGACAAATTTGACTGGACCCTGAAGATTCCGGGTTAGAACTGGTCTTCAGCAATTCATGCTTGTCGCAAGAGGCGACTAACAGGATCAGGCTTGCTGACTTGGTTGATGCATGTGATCGTATCCCAATTGCGAGGATCCATGGTCATGATAGCAACCACTGGATTGTCTGAGTGCAGCATTAAACAACAAACAAACAATTTTGATTGCTTTTTGTACCTCCTTTTGCCTCAGGATACCTTCTAAAAGACATCCTCAGAGATGATGGCAGATTAGAATCGTCCCCAGCAAACTGTGCTGACCACCTAGGCACCCACTTAAAACACTTACTCATGCACTCACCTTCTCTCAGGTATTACATTATATAGTGAGTGAGTGAGTGTGCTTTTATGCCACTTTTAGCCATATTTTAGCAATATCACGGCGGGGTAAAAGACCAGAGTGACACATGTGTTAGATGCTTACCACAATGGCACTGAAACATACAAAGAATCAAATCCGGGGAAAACCGGGATTCGAACTCAGGATCTATGTTTCAGCAAGTTGCGGCGCCTACGACGACTGGGCATTAATCTCTTTTCGAGTGAGTCAGTGGGTATGCTTTTACGACGCAATATTCCAGCAATATTAAGGCGGGGGACAATGTAAATGGGCTTCACACATTGCACGGGTGTGGGGAATCAAACCCTGGTCTTTGGCGTGATGAGCAAACGCTTTAACCACTAGGCTACCCACTGCCCACATTATACAATAAGAAGAAAATGTCTACCATTGACGTGTAAATATGGCAACATTGTATGTACAATCAAGTCTGGTTTTTTTACCTAAACATGTGCTGCAATCATTAACATCTGCATTTAGATTGGAATCAGATTGGAAACTGATTGATGTTATTAACTATTTTAAAAAATTAAATAGCAACCAGCAAATCAGTCTTTTTTTCCAATTCATCTCCCTGGATACAGCAAGTGTGTACTCAGGCCATTGAAATACCAGTACAGGCGTGAAGACTGACACTATGTGTATACGTGGTGAACACCATGGCTGATCTACCTAGTGCACATATGTTAAGATGGTATAGATTGGCGTTGACATACAAAAGTGTTGGTTGTATTGAAGTTGAAAACTCATAACAGGATGACGGCCATTTTGGAAAATCCTGCATGAAAAGAATTAACATTTGATTGTGTGAATGTTGTTTGACAACAGCTGGGACTGCATTATATGTAACTGAAACCATCCAACGATAACAAATAATCATTTAGAATGATGCATACATTAATAGCAATGTCATTACACATAAATCTGACACATACACGTATGGCTGTGACTGGCACCGATAAAGGGTAAACTACACTATAAATACATCTGTTTTGCATCATCCCAAACTGCATCAATGGGTGAAAAACAAAAATATTATTGAGTTTTTGTTTGACATGCTTCTACACTCAATATATCATACTATCATACTTGTTAAGGGACTAACTATATGATATTCATGTGTGTGTGTGTGTGTGTGTGTGTGTGCGTGCGTGCATGAGTGTGTGTGTGAGTGTGAATGTGAGTGTGTGTGTGAGTGTGAGTGTGCGTGCGTGCGTGCGTGTGAGTGTGAGTGTGTGTGTGTGCGTGCGTGGGTGAGTGAGTGCGTGCGTGCGTGCGTGCGTTTGAGTGTGTGTGTGAGTGTGAATGTGAGTGTGTGTGTGTGTGTTTGAGTGCGTGCGTGCGTGCGTGCGTGCGTGCGTGCGTGCGTGCGCGTGCGTGTTTGCGTGTGAGTGTGAGTGTGTTAGTGTGTATGTGTTAGTGTGTGTGTGTTAGTGTGTGTGTGTTAGTGTGTGTGCGAGTGTGTGTGTGTGTGTGTGTGCGTGCGTGCGTGCGTGCGTGTGTGTGTGTGTGTGTGTAATGAGGTTGGGAGACTGGATATTTCTTCAGCTACAGCTGCAATACATACTTACTTCAATAGAATGATGTATACATTAATAGCAATGTTGTTACACATATATCACACACATGCTTGGATGGCTGTGATAGGCTCTGATGAAGGTCGGGGCGGTCGGGTAGCCTAGTGGTTAAAGCGTTCGCTCGTCATGCCGAAGACCCGGGTTCGATTCCCGACATGGGTACAATTTGTGAAGCCCATTTCTGGTGTCCCCCGCCGTGATATTGCTGGAATATTGCTAAAAGCGGCGTAAAACCATAATCACTCACTCACTCTGATGAAGGTAAACTATACCTCAAGTCTTTGAAAGGCATTAGAAGTGATACACATAAGGAAGAGAATTTATGGATGTCATTTGATTTAAGAGTCAACCCTGCAAAAGTGAAAAAAACATATATGTAATAAATGATACGACTGATTAAAAAATCAAAACAAGTCTTCATCGTGAGGAAGCAAGGCTTTACCCACTGAGCTACCAAATGGTCCCATAAAGACACATGGATCTGTGTTAAGTATGGTTTACTCCATTCTTAGTTACAAATATTCCAACACTATACCCCTGTAGGAACCGACAATGGACCTCCGTGTGGGGAATCAAACTCCGCACATTAACCCCCAGGGTCACGAACACATTAACCACAGGGCCATCCAACCGACCCACTCTCAATGATCAAGCAGGTTAAAAAAACACTAGTCTATTATACTCATTAGTCCGAGATTCAAACAATTTCACATGTTTTGGCAAATGTCCATGTAATGAGCTGCCATTCTTTCTGCAGCACTTGATGTTATGGCATATTTGGAACCCGTGCTCCTTATCACTCATTCATCATTTGCGCTTTGTTAACAGAAACGTAATTTGTAATTCTATGGCATGTTCTAATGGCGATTTCCCCTGTGAAAGAGATAGATGTGACATGTCATAAAAGTTGAAATTCCCAACAGTTTTAGACCTGAGCTACATCAGATCAACAGCCCTAGATCCATTAGTTTGGTCGTTTTAAATTGAGAATCAATGAAAACCTTTTATACCAATCAATTTTTTATGCTACTGTTTGAAAAGCACCCCTAGTGTAACACTCCTCTGAATCAATTGATGTGTGTTGAACATGCAATGATTAGAGAGCTACACTATCACAAAACACTACCTGTCACTAACAAGGAACCATAGAATCAGCAGAATTTAGTGATAGGGGCATTCTTGGATTATTGAAGGCATGCTGTCATTATGAAGCACCGGTTCTTTCTTTCAATGGTAGTAATGGTGTTTGGGGACTGAATGAATGGGTTTTTAATACAAGGTTGGTTAGTCGTGAGTCAAAGCCATCTTAATTCTGTGACCGGGCAACCGCCGGTACAGAGTACTGTACCAAACTTGGTCCATGTTGTTTGGGTTGCCTTAGAGCATTTGTGTGCGGGAGTGAAGGAGGGACTACCAGTATTTAAGCCTTATTACAGAGTGTCAGCTTAATAAGGAGGGAGAACTCTGAGGGACTACTATGGTGAAGGGGCGATCGGGTAGCCTGGTGGTTAAAGCGTTCGCTCGTCACGCCGAAGACCCGGGTTCGATTCCCGACATGGGTACAGTGTGTGAAGTCCATTTCTGGTGTCCCCCTCTGATATTGCTGGAATATTGCTAAAAGCGGCGTAAAACCATACTAACTAACTAACTAACTAACTAACTAACTAACTAACTAAC